GCAAGCACGTGTACGCGGCACGCGTATCCCTATATATATGCATCGTGCATATGCACGCGGCAAGCTGCAATAAGAGAACCCGAAGAGAATCTATCCCTTTGTCCGCCGATCTTTTGCACGTTCGACACGCAAACGTGGTCATGGTCATTGTTAGCACAGCCCCAAAATTTGCTGATCCGACGTTCGACGTCATTACTACACGCGTATCGAGTGCGATTCGCACGAATGCGGGGATAGAATAGGATAGGAGACAAGATATCTATCCGGAATATCTCTGCACCGATGTACAGAGCGAGTATTGAAACCAGGACTGTTTCAACCGGCGAGTTCAATTGTGTCCATGTAGAGGCGAGATTTCAATGTTGTAGATATGTGAAAGTATAACCACACGTCAATCGTCGCGTTTCATTAAGTGTACCTGCAGTTTGTGTAAACTTTGCGTGCCCATAGTTCGTAATGTAAACGCGCGAAAATTATACCGGTTGCAATTCATGAAACACAATAATTCTGCTCAAACACACGTTTTTTTTTTTTATAATAGATGTAACATATTCAATCAAGAAAAAGCATATAGACTTTAAAAAAAAAGAATACACAAAGGCGAGAAAATAAAATCAAATAAAAATCCCAAATATTTAATAATTTAAGGAGACTCTTGCAGTTAAAAAATAGTCAGTATCAGATTTAAATTTAAAAATATTGTGCCATATATAAAAGTAGTATTTTTAAAAATTCTGCTTGGTTCTTTTAAAATATTACTAACAATAAAATACGCGTTTAAATCTATGCTTTAAAAAATGCGCTTGTTTGAGATACCCTGTACACCCATGTTTTAGTATTGTATAAAGCTACTTACATAGTTTTGAAGCTGGAAAAGCACGGTAAACTGGAATGTGGAGAGGAGATGGGACAACTCGGTATGGAAACAACTATTGCGAGCTTCTCGTGTACGGTGAAGTGAAAAAGGTGAAGGTGGATGTTGCTACGTCATTGACAGTCGGGACATCGAACTTCTGCATTGTGTCGCAAGCGTGAACTTTCCGCTTTTGCGCATTTATTTGCGATTCGTTGCAGGAATGAGTTGCACGAACGTGGAATTTCACTCTGAATACACTGCAATAGAATTGATATTAGAACTGTATCGTTCGATAGTATGCTCACATATTTCATAATCACATAAAACACATAATACAGCCTTCATTCGACAAACTGCAGTTGATTCTCGTACGATTTTTCTGTAATAAAGCAATTTAATCGAATGACAATGTTATAGTTTTCTTCTGTTGCATAACATAATTCAAGCTGTTTCCTTCAACGTTTTATCGCATCTGAAACGTCCAAGTTTGCGCATGCATATGAATTAAAAGTATAAGATAAATATCACAATGTTTTTTGAAAATGTTAGATAAGGATGATGTGGACAAACAAATGCGAAACAAAAGAATTACAATTATACAGAAATTATAAAGAAATACAATTATCTTTCGCTACAAGTTGTATAAAAAAAAAAAACATTTAGGATTGTTACCTTTTTGCTTTATTACATGTTATGCTTCCAAACTTTTTTGTTTTCTATAAAACCCTGACGTTTCTAAAGCGGGCAAATTACTAGTAAAGTACTTTGTACGAGAAAGTCGAGTTTAGCAAAAATACTGCTTAGTGCTTTTATCTTATCACAGTGGAAGCGCGCCGCCTTTTCTAACTAAACGGGTACGAAACAAAGGACTAAGAGTTTGCGATCAATGTACGTGTATACGGGTAAGGGTCGAGGATTCTACGAGAGGATATACGAGGAGAGCTCGGGTAAGAGGATCTCTTGCCGTTAATTGGACCAAGTCCGATGATGTCGCCGTGCGAATTGTCGGCCACGAAATTACCCCGATATCTCCTCGCGTCATTTAGAGCCCGAACGGTACAATCGGATCGGTACGACGCTACACGGATTTTCTTTTTCTTGCGCCTCGCCGAAGGGAGTCCAATTACCCTGGCGAGACTCGGCAAGACCGACCGCGATCAACGAGTTTTCGTCGTAACGAAAACCGCACGAGGGGCGAAATAAGGCTCGAAGAATAATAAAACGGAGCACCCTCAAGGTGTACTGTTTCTCTTTCTTTCTTCACACCGACACGACTCCCAAGCGTTGCACATCCAACGCAAATTATCGATTTTATTGGAGCGCGAGATAAATTTAACGCCGATTCATTGCGCGATTACATTTAATTGCCTCCAATTAAATCGCCGTTCCAATTAAAATCGACGCGAACGCGGAGGGTTCATTACGATTTATTGGACCGATGGCTACGACCCTTTTCTGTGCCCTTTCTCTCGTGCGCTTTCATGTCGTGAATTTGCAACGTATTGAACCAAAAGAATCAATATGTTTCTTAACTATTTCAAAGAATCTTCTCATAAAAATCGTTAGTTCATTTATCGACTTTACTTTATTTAAACGATTGCATAGAAAAACTAGCATGACTTCTCCTAACAAATATTACGATTCGATTTCAATTTAATATTAATCCCATCATTGCTATCACTATTAAAATGATTTTGATGTAACTAGTATTTTTAAAATATTATTTAAAAAACAATACGTATTTGAAATAATTGCAATGTTTCAAATGCGTTATTACACTTTGGAGAATAACGCCATATTATTCCTCCTAAATACTACTGCACTTATAATATAGAAAGCTAATACATTTTTATTTCATATAAAAATACACAAGTCCATAATATGTCCTTGAAGAATCAAAAAGGATTCTTACGTAAAAATGTTCACAAAACACGCACGTGGACACGGAAGCATTCACTGACTGGTTGGTGGTGAAGCACCATTGTCATATTGGCTCTTGTTTCTCAGTAAATAGCCAGCAAGGAAGCTTATAGGATCGGCAGGTCTTTCTTTAGCCAGACAGGACAATGCTTGCAGCAATATTGGTACTACTGTCTGATCTAAATACTGTCTGGTAGGAAGAGATTGCACATCAACACGAGACTTTTTTGCTGGTATACCAGACAGATCACCATCTTTATCCATCCCTGTTACTTTCTGCAAATAAAAAACATATAAATTTAAAAACACTGTTCACAGAAGCATTTAGTAATAAAATATGTTAAGAAATTAAACTGCTTATTGATTTTGTAAATCGTCATATTTATACCTACTGAATTTAATTACTTATTATTTTAGAATAACAACTATCATTGACTAACAAATGTTGAATGATAAGCGATAACACTAACGTAAGTAAAGTTCTAACCTAACTTTTCGCGACGCAAATATAGGCATATATTACGCGCGTTTATGTTTATTTATTAAGCTCATATAATGTTTAACGCAAAATTATTCGAAACATCGTTGTTCAACAAGCTGTCGGAACATTTTTAGGTTATATATGTTTGCTTACATTAGTCGTCTCAGATGCGGCATTGGAGTTGGGTTGAGCCGGCGTTGACGCTTCCGTCCGTTCCTCAGTAGCGTTTTCTGTCGTTAAAAAAGAAACAAAGGATGAATGGCCGTTGCTAAAGTGAGATACTAAATGATGAGTCTGATCGCAGGACGACCGGACCGGTCTACGATTACATGAGAATGGAAAATAAGTAGACACGTACCACCGCCGGACGCCATCGTGTAAACAACCGTCACTACCAACCATATCGAACTATCGCCATCTATCACACCGCGATAAGTTGCTACAAGTCGGTAAAGTGTTCTGTCAATAAGACAGTAGTAGAAATCCATATCAGGGTAAGTTTCTGTGCTAAGTCCAGTAGACTCCATGTAAGCTAATAATAAAATTCATTTTTTCCATCGCAGATTAATTTTTACAAAATTACATAATTTGATTTATATTATTCTAAAAATAAACATATAAAATTATTCTTAATATTGTGATTAAATACAAATAATTTAACGTATAAAATGCAAATAAAATTCAGAATATCAGTATTGTATTATACGATAAATAAATAAAAGCATAAAATTAATGACAAAAGAAATTAATGTTATATGTGTAGATACTCTATAAATAAATGCACATAAATTTTTGTTTCTGTGAAAATATTTATAAAATTCAAGGTCAAAAATGGTAAACTGACTACCTTTTTATGTTTTATTTATTTAACGCAAAGTTAGACGCTACAACTTTGGTACAAAAACATAAAATAGTGGCGTTAAGGAAACGGTACACTGCGAGCGGGTCCTCGAGTCTCCGCGAACGCGGAGGATGTTGCACGCGTTTTCTTTTTGCTTTTCCGTTATTAGACGATAAATCGCAATTCCGTTTCTTTTCCACGGACATAAAGATAAAAAAACGCGAAGGAAACGCTTCGAGTCTGACAGGCGACGGTAAGGAGGGCACGAGCTCGAAGAACCGCGTTCGCCGTCATACAAAAAGAACAGCCAAATACCTTCAACGCATATACCAATCAAGCATACACAAGCGAGCGACGCGCTTCGCAGCGTCTCTCAAAAATTAACATCGAATCCTGCAAAGAATTACCACACAATATACGTCGATCACGCGAAGCGCGACGAGCGAACGATGGGCTCGAGGGTGTCCGGCAAAAAGAGCATGAGAGGCAAATGTACCAATTTTACGAAAATGCTACATGAAAGTAAAGCAACCATGAGCGAGAAGCGAATAAAGCATACGTGGACGTAAATTCTCAGTCTTTAAGTTGTATTGCTCGTTATCAACGTTTCAGCTGAAAAAACATTTCATGCTCAGCCGATTTAACTGATCAATGTTTCGTGCACAGCTCTTCTTGCCGAACACCCTGGGCCGCTTACAACATAACGTTATCACCTGTGCGACGTCGCGGACGTCCACTTCGCTTAAGACAATATGTAGATAAGCCGCGACCAGAAATACCGCGCGGACGTGATCACATCACTATATACGAATGCATTAATATCGTTATCATCAATATCATCGGCCTATGCCGTATTAGCTCTGGTTAGATTCGGAAGCGATTCGAAGCGACAAAGTTTCGCGGGGGCGAGTTAAGTGAGCAGAACGTGATACTATAAGTCGTAAAGGGTGACTTGGGACGATACGGCTACGTTAATTATACGGTAAGAGCGCGATCGTAACATATACACGAGACACGAGGCTTTTGCGCAGCCTTTTAAAATCACATCGATGAGTAAAAGTGCGTCGGCGTGTCGAGCCGCGGCCAGTTTCGACAGGCAGAGGGTAGGAATTCCTCTGCGCGAGCAGAAGCGACTCGTAAACGAAGCACCCTTGAGATTTTACTTCATCGTACATCACGGACATTCTCTCAGTGGTCCGTGCGCGCTTTCGCTTTCTCAATTCGTGTAAAGATAAAAATAAAACATCACGGTAGATAATTTAAAATCAATTGCGGCTCAAATTAAATTTACTTTAAAATGCGATAGAATATTAATATTAAATCAATTTCAATTTGCTTCTAAACGATAATTAAATAAACCCAAATAAATTAGATAAATTAAAATAGTGGTGACATAAAAAAAACCGTTTTCAAGGTGCAAAAAGTAGTCGAATTCGCGCATCGTTCCCCAAAATATTACGACGAAAATGTTATAATGCACTCGATAGTATCTAGCATATCAAATGTACAAAACTAATTAAAAATGCAACAACTCGCCTTGACTGGCATTTCTCGAGGATGCTTCCTCGCCTGGTCGCCCAAAACCGGAAACCGGCTCGTGCATCGCCTCGGCAAACAAATGCGACACCTAGAAATAGCTACTTACAACGTATGTATATATAGTATATAGTTAGTGTTATATATAATATATATTTATATTTATCTTTATATGTATATCTAGAAATAGTATCGTGATAAAAACGAACTATGAGACGCGGCGCCGTGACCGCGGCGTCGCGCGATGTCGGGACTGTGCACACACGAAGAAGAAGCGCGGGCGACACCGGCTTCGTACGTTCGTCGAACCGGCGAAGAACGATCGTCCGATCGTGGACGATTCTCTTCGATTCGCATTTGAGAAAACGATCCATTAACCGTCCCGACTTCTCGCCTCGCCGCAAGGATGCAGCCGACGCCTTCTCGCGACCATCCGTCCGACTTACAAGCTATCTACGTTAAACCAGCTTTTATTACTCGAATCGCTTATATTTGTAACGATCATCGTCGCAATATCAATGAATCTTATCGGTACGTCGTAATCGATCGAAGAAGATTAGCACGGGGGGAATAATTACGTGTTTACAGCGGACTAAATATTTTTTTTTTTTTCATATAATATAGGACGACAGCAAGTGTAGTGTGGCGTGTATTGCGTGCACGCGCCGGCACGCGTGGCGATAATGTAATTGTAAATGTTATGTGGCTGGCCTGCCGTGTTATATATACCGAAGCGTTCCCTCGATGGCTCGCCGCGTTGTTCTTCCTACGGACAGTCGATCGGCATTCTGTGTACGGGACTTTTCCCCTCGAGTAGGAATGATGAGGGATGTGTCTCGGATCGATCGCCTAAACGGATTGCTAAAAGGACGACGACGAAAGACGAAAAGCGACGACGTACCCTATTGCTCTCCGCGACGTCGAGACTCAAGATCGCCGATCGTCAAGGGGGTAAGGGACACAACCTTCGTTACGAAATTATAAATCGTACAGTATATGTATATAGTATATGTACGTATGTATGTATATATCGTACGCCCGCGGGGAGCGGCAGTGTGGCACAACCATGACTTAAAAAGCGACCAACTAATCTCATGTGTGTACGTGTATATATTTCGTATATTTCGTTTATATACGTATCCATATCTTTTTCCCCATTACGCAACTCCTGCGACGATTGTAACCTAGGATTATACCCCGGTAATATATTAGAAGACCCCCGTTAAATCCACCGTCGCCGAGAGCACCATCGCGGGCCGCGTCCTCACCGCGATACAGCGTCCGCGAACACGACATCCGAATGTGTTCGCCTTCCTACAGGACAGCCTCTCACGGCAATCGCGAGCCTGGAACTCCGTCTACACGTTCGACGAGAAAGTCCAAATCGCCTCTTTCGTAATCGAAATATTCATTGTCGTGCGAAAATGATTAATTAAATAACTTCGAATAACATCGTGTGTGTGATAAAGGAAGACTCGTATCAAAAACGCAAATCTTCTCCCGTTGTTTTTTAATCGGTATAAAAAATTTTACGCTATACGTAATTGAACGTGTGCGAGGAGTTCTAGGACTCGCAAGACTTACGAACGAAGCGTGGCTGACCTCGCGAATCGCTGTGCCTCCTTCGCGAAAGGGCAGTAGATAAAGACAGTCTTGAGTTTGGCCTCCCTAAATGTGAGCAATCGATTGAGCCGGTCTGAAAAAGTGTATCAAAAAACAAGGCAGTTTTGGAGCTTGGCCTTCCCCCAGGATCAAATATATAAACGAATGTACTCGAGGAAGTACAAGGAAAAGGCGGAAGGCCGGAGAGAGAAAGAGAGGGGAAAGAGAGCGTGGTCGAAGAGCGAAAGAAGCGATCTCATTCCGCGAGGCCGGCCGCGGAACTTCATCCGTAATCACGATCTCGAGATGATATCAACGCACGTACATCTTATACGGTAATCGAATCTACCTACTCGCGACGACGTCTAATTTCTATCGTAAATCGTTGCAAATTGGACCGACGACAGCACCGGGGGAAGAGTTAGCGTGCGCTTCATTTCCGCGTCTCTCGGCTGCTTGTCTCGCGGCCGCCGGCTATCGAGAGAGGCGGAAGATCACGGAAGATGATGATTTACAGGTTACACTGCCACAGTATCGTAGGGTGTGAAGAGTCCCCCGTGACCGCCGTGGGGGCTGCCGGTTTGCCGGCCGGGAGCTTCGTTTCTGCAACAGGAATTTGCATTTTTAGCATCCCGTGACATCAGTCGTGTCGACTACTTCACGCGATTTTAACAACACTCTCGCGTGCAGATATCTCTCGCAATTTAATCTCCTCTTGTCAATAATGGAATAAACCTTAATTATTTCTAAAATTAAAAAAGACTGTTTAACCATTTTAATTACTGACAATTTCTACTTTGCAAAAGTGAAGTCTGCTTTGTGTAGAAATCACTGATATCTGCACGTGAATTGGGCAAAAACATGCGTTATAACAACAGCTAGAATAGTGGTGACGACAATGATATTTATGCTATGAATAAATAAAATGTAAAAATGACGATCGTAGGCATGTCAGTCGTTAGTAGCTTCAGCGGCCCGAATAGCGGGTTTGTTAGCGGTGAGAACAGTAGGTAACAGCTGCAGTGGAAATATGGTTAGCATCGACGTATACATTATTTTACAGAAAATAGAGAACACTTTTCAGACGCACAAAATTGAACAATTTTCAAACCGCAGAAATTCGGCGAAAAATCATTGCGGATAAAAAATTAAAAAACCATTTAAAAATTTGAAGTTTGTACTTTTACGTGCTTTTCATTTTTTGAAAATTTCAATTTTAAAAAGCTTTTTCAATTTTTTTGTCTGCGATAATTTTTCGTCGAATTTCAGCGGTTTAAAAATGGTTAAATTTTACGCGTTAGAAAAGTTATCTTTATTTTTTGTTAAGTAGTGTATATCTCTACCGCATTCTACCTTTGAATTAATTACACAGCTACAACACGTTACACATGACACTCATTAAAGCACTATTCATTAAAGCTACATGCAGACACATGTTGTATTAGTAAGCGTTTTCGATGGAGATCGGGAACTCTGTCATGTCCGAAAGCAACGCTTTTTATTTGGAAGCTCGTCGCAAAACAAATCAGGTAGCCGGACTTCAATGGGATGATGAAAATCAGTAGAAAATGGTATGACGCATCTCAAAAAGCTCTCCACATGTCTTTAACGTTTGTACATCCTGATTTGATTATGTTTAACGAACTTACGGCTTCCTGTGTAATTAGTCATGAAACAAGAAAAGATCAGATGTACGTTAAATTGTTAAATGATAAAATATTCGAGGCTCTTCGAAAGTCACTAGTGAACCACCGTGCACTCGATCATTATTATCGGCAATGCAACCGCGAATAAATATTCGAGGATGAATATATCCGAGTATTTTGAGGATACGAATTAAAAGGAATGATCGTGATTCTTTTTTTGAGAAAGATCGCGCAGATATGAGCCGGATTGCGGTTGAGGCCGCAACGAGCGATCGTGAAAGCATCGCTCAATTCGGAAAATATCGCAAGGTATTTCATCGCGGAAGTATCAATGATACATCTCTCGCGAGAGTAAAATCGCTCGAGACACAGCGGCAGGAACGGTGTAAAACCGTTCACCGTTAAGCTCACTCGCGCTCTACTGACCTCTCTATGAGTTTACGCATCTCCTCGGTGGTCATGCCGTCCTTGTTGCGAGCATTCACTGAAATAGAAAAACACACGGCACGATTGACACAACGATTAAACTACTACGACAACACGTATCATGCAATTTGTGGAAGCTATAATTAGAAGATTAAAAAAAAAAAAACACATAATCCGCGGCGAGTCTTCTTCATTCGCGACTCGCTCGCCATGCGATACGTCCGCATAATGAGCCGTCGTACGCCTAATAATGCTTAGTGCATATGAAACGAGCATCAGTAATAATAGAGCTGAATCGGAGCGAGATTTGTTCCTTGAAAGGGAGCATGTCGCCGGACCAGTGAGATTCGAACAGGAAAGACGAGGTTCTCGACGTTCCCATCGATCCATGGTCCCAGTTTCAAGATCTCCCTTTTGCTCGTTCTCCGATTCGTCACGAATCTTTCTACTGACCGCCGTAGTTGCGGTTGACAAGCTGATCGCGGTCGCATTCGGCCTCGCTGATCTCGTTGCTCTCCTTGCTGTCGTTGAAGCTGGAATTATTCTGATCCTGATGGTTTCGCGGTGGCGGCGGTGGCGGTTCCGGTGAGCCGGATACAGGAATGTTACGAGCTGAGCCTACACTGCGACGTCCGACAGATCCGCGGGAGCCATAATGATCGTAAGGTGCGCCGTACTGTCCGTACTGTGATCCGTACTGGTCTTCCTCGGGAGCGCAATTAGCCGGGTCGTCGTATTCAGGTGAGAAGACGTTATGGGTGCCGCTGCCACCACCTTGGGATGGTACTCGAGAATAGCGGCCGTTTTGACGCGGCTGCGGAAGAAAAATATCGGTCGCGAGTCTAGCAATAGCAATCGGTCGCTGAGACTTGCTGAGCCATGGCTTGCCAAATAATTTGTTCTCACAAATATATCCTCTGAGAATATCGGGCGCTCTTTTGATTCACAAATATTATTATACAATAATGATATACGAATGAATTATCTTAAATATCTGAAAAACATACCATAGATTGAGATCCAGAGCGGCTATGAGCGGAAGCGTTAGTCGGATGCCCTACAGGTGGTCCCATGGTGCCAGAGTGGCCGTTTCCTGGGTGAGGGAAGGTCTGGAATTGCATAGCCTTGCTCGGGTCCATTTCCTCGCGGAATCCCAACAGATGGAAAGTAGCGTACGGGCAGATCTCATCCTCCATACCTGCAAATGGGCAATCAACCAGGGTAGACTCTGTCGTTATGGGCGGAAAATCTACGAAGTATGATTTCTGTTGAACGATAAAGATTGCTTTTAAAATATCTTTTTGCGTGTAAATGTTTTGAGTGTAAATTATATTATTATTTTTGTCTCAAATCGAATCGGAAAAACATTTTCAATCGTTAGAATAAGCAATCTTTTCTTTTGTTGATTTTACATGCGATTTCTACCGAGAAATCTATTATAAACGAGCAAGTAAATGTCTTTTACTCACTTTACCGTTTCTTCTTTCCTCGATTCTCATTCTATGTTAAATCATTAAATCTTCAATGACTGGCCATGCGTATTAAAAATGTATTTAAACAAACTTTAATTCATTAACGCCCGATCATCTTATCGATTATGCACACGCGATCTTTGGTATAAAAACGCTATTCTTCAATTACTTAGTAATCATAACGTCTATTTATTATATCTAAAATTTATTTTATGCATTTAAAACAAAAATAAAAATAAAAATAAGATATAAAAATATATAAATATCTAAAAAGTATATAAAAATCGATATGACGACGGGCAGAGAGATTTTTGTCTTAGAAAATATACGAGATAAATGGGCGAAAATGTAATTTTTCTTTATGTGATTCGTGTCGTTTGTCGGCGTGCTATGAACGCAGGCATGCGAAAACGTGCAACATTGATAAAACGTGCCGTTAAAGGCACAGGGTTCATGGAGCGAGAGGGACTTACAAAGACCGGCTGGGACGAGCCAGTAAACGTCACCGGCTCCGGCCTGCGATTATCGATTTCGTAGGACGAAATGCCGAACGTCCCGTTAAACAAAAATATGATTACCAACCTCTGTGTGAAAGACCGTCTGCGCTGCCTATACGTGGTGGCGGTGGGCATCTTCTGGGAACGTAGTGATTCAATTCCTCATACATGTGCCGCCTCGGATCCCACGTCGAGTGACTCCTTACCGAGCCAGTTCCACCTATCGAACACATACTACAAAGGTCGTACGACACGCTGGCGCCTATCAAGATTCATTCCCGGTTAACTAACAACCCAGTGAATCCCTTTGGAAGACTCGAGACTCTAGGGAGAGTGTTCTTTCTTTTTTCAACTTGTTTAAGGACACGACTGATACGCGATTCGGTGCAGTCGACACTCGTTAGGCACCAACGGCGTGATAAGCGCAACAAATAGGAACGAACGTTATCTTCGCTGGAGGGGTATACATCTTGGTAACGTTTATAAGAACACTTCGAAGCAAAAGGCAAACGAAAAAAAATACTGGCAATGGTTGTGTGTCTGGGTTCTGTATGACCTGAAAATCTGTGTAAAAATGGTCGGAAGCCTGACGTTGTATGTGCGATTTATGTTTTCCTTGAGAAAAGATGAAAGAAGGAACTATCGTGCCGATGCGACAACAACTAGACAAGTCGAAACTGGTCTAAAAAAAATAAGTGTTGGCAGTTGTGGCTTACTTATAACTGTACCTCGCTTGATACGATCGCAGGTGTTGTAATTGGAGCCGGGTACCGGTGGTAGTTTGCGATTCGGCGGTGCGATATACCCTAATTCATCGCGAAGATCGGATCTACGTTTGTCCAGAGTAGCGCCGCCAACTCCGGTTTGCTGATAGACTACATCATCTGAAAAAGATGCATAATCCTATAAATATAAACACGCATATATTTCGACACTTTAATGTTATTACGCATGTACAATATTATAATATTGATTATGCCATCACCCACGCTTGTGCAACAAAAGGAAAAATTAGGAGGAGAATAATTCAGAGGTCAAGAATTTTTTTAAAGGATTCAAGACTAGGGTGGCCGACGCGTGGACTGATCGTCGAAAAATTATTTAAAAATCCGAAAAATTATATATACAATATTTATATATAATATTATTATGATAATGCGTGTCCACGACAATCAATTTAATTTTTTTTTTTTTTTTTAATTACTGTATCTACCTAATTTTGATCACAAAATTTCTAAGCGCAATTTGGTTTCCCGACAAACCTCCACCGTCTTTATGACTTAACAAGTAAAGTAATGAAAAAAGATTGGTATACATTGTCCCTCGTAATATTTCTCGTCGGCTGAAGAGATACCTCGCAGCCGTGTTTGTTCTGGACCTCGAGTTCTCCTCGAGAGCGCCACACAAATGACAACTATTCCTACTATTATGACAACGATCGTCGCGCCGACCGGCACCACCACGTTTACATCGAGCCAGCTGGGCAACCACGGGAAGTAATGTCTCACATTATTCTGGCCATTGTCAGCACCATCGTTACGTACGGGAGGTGCGATCGTGCCTGTTCAATGAAAGAAATGGACGTAGAATGATTAGACGAGTCTTTACCTTTATCGCCACTGTGGCCCTTCCCCCTGAGAACGCAGATCACGATGACGGCAACGATTATAACGAGAATGGCTGCTATCACCGGCACGACCAGATTTAAGTTAGCCATGAAAATTTTCATCGGGTCGTCGTTGCCTTCACCGTTCACGTCCGGTAGCTCGCGGGCCGGTGCAATGGTGCCTGGAACAGAAAACGTTTCGGCGACCGCTCAATCCAGTCACCATTGGCACCGGCTACGAAGCGCCGAAGACGTACCCATTCATACTCACCGCCAGTCACCGTCAAAGTTGCGAATTCGTATTCGGCAACGGCGAAGCCAGCATTGTTGTGTGCCGTAACGCGCAAATGATACCAGCTCGCGGGATCGAGATCTAATACTATGAAATTAGCGCCCGGCTTGACGTTGTTCGAGACCTGGATCCATTCCTGCTGATGTCTGGAGAATGCGAAATACGCGCCATAAACTACCGAGTTCCGACTTGACTGGATGTTCAAATTCATTGATTTTTTATTTATCTTACTTCTTCTTGTGTTCCACAACGAAGTACAACATGGGACAACCACCGTCCGACCAGGCGTTCAAATGCAGAGTGATGCTATTCGTGGATACTTCAATAAACCTTGACGCTTCGGGAATAATCGGTTTGGAGCCCTTGGTGCGCGTATTCAGGATGTCCGAAGGATCGCCGGTTCCAATTCTGCAAAGAAATTTTACGTATAAAATTTCTCATTACACACATGTGTTAATTTATAAAACAATAAAATAGTAAAATTACCCGTTGTAAGCTGTGACATAGATCTGATATCGGGAGCCGCACCACAGATTTTCGATGGTATATTTTTGTGCTGTGGAACTAATTTGAACGGTTTCCCAGTCACCGAACTCCGGTTTGTAATGAATCGTGTAACCGTGAATTGGCGCATTGTCGGTAGGATGCGGGCGCAATTTCATCGTCAAGGTATTAGTGGTTGTAGCGGTGAGGGTGACCTGCGGCGAGTGCGGGGGAGCTGCGAATGTGACATTAATTTCAGTATAATCAATAGCTAAAATCAGTTAACCGTTGATATCCATACCCACATACCGTGTACAACCAGCTGATGTGTCACGGTATCATGTCCAAAATTGTTCTCTACATAGCAAGAATATTCGCCAGCATCTGTACGGTCGACTTCCTTAATGAACAATGATCCCTCAGGCAATTGTCTTAATCGGTCACTTGGTTGCAGAATAGCACCGCGTACTTTCCATGTTACTTCCGGTGCCGGTACGCCAACGGTGAGGCATGGCAGTTTTACATCCTCTTTATATGTTGCAGTGAATTTGTCGTCAAACGACGCGATCTTGGCCGGTACTGTAAGTATAAAAATTTAGAAATATTCTTTAGTCTATAATTAACTATGAAAAATTCATTTTTCGATTTTAATACAATATTCAATTAAACAAACATTTTTACTTAATTAATATTTAATTTAATTTATATATATTAACAAATTATAAGTTACATAACTGTGAATAATGAGCGAGTTAAGAAATAAGAAATTACCTCGAGCGCTTGGTCCAAGAGTTACGATCTTAGAAGCTTCACCTTCGCCGATATTTGTGCTAGCAGTCACCCAGAATTCGTATCTGAGTTGCTTGTCTAATCCAGACGCTTCGTGAGTAAGTTGATTCGGCGGTACTTTCTGGCTAGTTGGTTCCTCTGCGTTATCGGCTTTTGTGTAAACAGTATATTGAGAAATAACTCCGTTAGGCTGGCTCGGCGGGCGCCATGAAATCAGAATTGATTCCGCGGACATGACCAGAGCTTTGATGGCGATCGGAGCTTCAGGGGCTAAAAATAGACGTGAGAAATATAATATATTCGATAAAAATATCCTTTTGCATTTAAATAATTTTTTAATTACCATCTTGTTCGGTTTGGCAGTGAATCGGTGCGGACTTAACGCCGTCTCCACCAGAAGTGAAAGCCAAGACTTGCATGCTGTAATTCGTGTACTTCTTGAGACCGTGTAGGATAGTTTCGCTGGAAGCCGTGATCTTGGTGTCCTTCGTATTCTCGTCGTACCATGTGTCAGACGGTCCGTAGATGACCTAAAATAAATATTTAGAGATGCTACTGCAAGAAATTTATGCCTTCATCATGAGACGCGTTTTTACTAACTTTGTAGCCGGTGATAACGCCGTTGGCCGCGCTCAAGGGTGGCGACATCCAGGACACTCGGATAGTCTGCGAGGTAAGAGTCGTGCAGGTGGTGTCATGAGGTGGTTGCTCGGGTACGCCTTCTGCGGTGTGCTGCCTGCGTTCCTCGCTCATCGGTCCGGAGCCGATCTTGTTGAACGCCTGAACGACCACTCCATATTGCGTGTAAGTCTTGAGATTCATGATTTGCAGATGATGTTCCTTCGTGTCTTCCTTGGAGAATTCAACAGTCTCAAACATGTAAGGCTTGTCCGCTGATTGTCTGTATCCAACATAATAGCCAAGAATCTCGCCGTTCCAATCCTCGCGCGGAGGCGGTTTCCATGTTACCTGGTAAAATTGATATTTATCACTTATTATCCTTATATATTCCAAAGCGATTGTAACGTGACCATTTTAATCTTTACCTTGAGTGTGTGCTGATCGAGAGCCTCTACTTTGACAGAGGTTGGTGGTCCACTAGGTACTTCCTCGGCAGTGATAATGGTGACTGTGTCAGATGGTTCGGAGAAGCCAATTCCGTTCTCAGCGACGATTCGCAGATGATATGTAGTTGCGGGTCTCAGATTGTACACTCCGGCTACGTTCTGATGCGTGCCTGGTACGTACACTTTATCCATATCGGCTTCCCAAGAACCCTTGCTGATCTTGTACTCGATGATGTATTTTTTCATAGGGCTGTTTCCGTCGTAAGGTGCGGCCCATGATAATTGCACTGAACGTCCTGATTTATCCAGCACCTTGAGACCATATGGTACTTCCGGCACCTCTATAAAAATATTAATACAAAAATTAATATCAAAAATTAAAAAATTTAACACAAATGATATCGTGACACGTTGAAAATTTGTGTATAAAAAATACAAGAACCAACCTTGCACGATCATGTTAATGCTAGTGTCATCGCTACCAAAGGCATTAGTGGCTACGCAAGTGAACAAGGCGGAATCACTCCTTTCGGTTCGTTTGATGCTCAGATCGGACAATACTCCATTGGCCAAGATTTCTTCGCGGATAGTGTAACGAGGATCGCTCTTTGTGTCCAGCCTCTTGTTGTTCATGTTCCACAAAATGCCAATTGGTTTCTCTCCTTGCGCCTCGCATTGCAATACAGCCGGTTCTCCACGGCGAGCGGTTTGATTTTTCAGTTTAATTTCGAATTGAGGAGGAGCTGAAAAAACATTGCGAACGAACAATGTATAAAATGTAATAAAAATTACAAGAAAATGTGATATCGCTGATATCGTGAAATACCTTGAACCGAAATGAGAATGACAGCGGACAGGCCTGATCCAATGCCGTTAACAGCCTCGCAAAGATAATAGCCTTCGTTCGTCTTTTGGATGTTGTTAATGGAGAGAGTACCATCCTCTACGCTAATGTCAGGATTGCTCAGTTTCAAGTCAGTATAATCTCCCGGCGTATCCCCTAAGAAATATAAAAAAAACATAATTAGTTGAGTAGAAAAGCGCGTTATTTGTCAGACGGTGGCTGCAAATGCGCTCACCAGCAGCACGCTTCCATGTGACTTGAGGCTTGGGGAATCCGTCGGCTTTACATTCGACTCGTGCGTCAGATCCTTGAGCGAATGCTTTGTCGGTGGGCTCCAGAATCCAACGAGGAGGTACTGTTACAGAATAAATAGATTAGTGCGATGCACTTTCTCGCAACTCGCGATTGTGCAGTATCCAGGAGCCAGCCGCTTACAAACACGAGTCGTTTACTTTTTTTTATTTTACAATTTATCAATAAAATTCTTATATGAGTTGTAGTCAAATACGACAGTAATTATATCATTTTCTGTTTCTTTGGATTTAACGTGAAATCTATAATAATAATTAATAGTTAAATATTAATCTAACGTGTAAAAACTTGTAAATTTTTAAAAATTACAGATTTTTATCTGTCCAAATTAAATTGAGAAAATATATTGCTTTTAAATTAAAATATTGTATTAAGATTTATATTTTTTGAGTAATTCTGATATTATTAAAACTGACTAGACTCGAATTATGGCAGTTAGTTTTGTCACATGCAAGACAAAACGCGACACGCTCCTGCTACTGCGATGAATAAAATGTAATATGGCATGCAGGATTCTGAAATGATTATGCGGGTATATTTAATGCATGAACAATAAAAGAGAAAGAGAGAGTCAGAGAGAGAGAGAGAGAGAGAGAGAGAGAAGAGAGAGAGAGAGAGAAAGATGATGATGCAGGTAAAAAGAGAGACTACGGGTTTCAGCTCTGAAGGAGCCTATAACGAGCATACATAAAGCGCTATCGAATTTGTACTCGAGCACGTCGGTGCATCATGCAGTACCGCGCGTTTACGACTAATACTCGATTACGCTCTCGTTCAAGTATAAATCCATGCATATTAAGTGTCTACTACGCTACACACACTTCTACAAAATGAATAAGGCAAGATGTGTGATGAGATGGCGAGGGGGCGAGGAGGGGCGTGTCGGGGGAGTTCATTCGTGGATGGAAGAGGGGGGGGGGAAGCTGTGATAAATTCATCAAGGGGTGAATTCTGTGATGTGGTTGGATGGTCGGTCGGTCATCTTAGAACAAGGACGCGTTTCAGCGCGATGGGGGTACGGTGAGGTATAAATCGACACTCGAACGTAACGAGACGAATAAATATGCAGCTTGCATGTGAGACCTACGCAATCCTGCGATCGCAAAGTGGCATTTGTATCAACGTTTGTGCTAAACGAAAAACGGCGAACGCGTTCGTGAAGGATGTAGAAACGCGATGAGATTCGCGTGTGTAAAGGTAGGTACATCCTGTGCGTCGCGTTACATCGCCGCATGGATAATCGAAGTCAACGTAAAAAGTCGCAGAAGTGCGGTTGACGACGAGAGCAAGATAACGAGGCGGGCAAAATAAACGTGGAAAGGCCAACGGCTTCGGCAAAAGTTACTGATTCTCGGAAACACGAAGGACTTCGGATTGATCTTGCTCGTTCGCTCGCTTGAATGATCAGCGGATACATAGAAAAGGAGAATTACAGCGGTAAGAAATAAACGTAGACAGAGACAAAGATAGAGATAGAGAGAGAGAGATAGAGACAGAGATGTAGAAAATGTGAAAGGAAAGCGAGAGAAGAAAGAGCAGTAGAAGAAAGAGAATACGCGCGAGAAGGTCGTCGTCGGCGACGAAAGCAACGCGCTGCGTACGAATTGAATTGAGCGCGAGCGACGAAACCAACTGAAATTCCAGAAAGCTTTCGCCAACAGGGAAAAACACACGATCAGCTTCACAGCAACGTCGAATAAGATGCAATCAATCAAGCCTGCGCTCAAATACTCTCGCGGGACCTGCGCGGGGCCGCGTTTTCATTCCGAAACTTCGCTCAACCATCATTATTAATTATCATTATCAACGTCATTCTCAGTGCTCCGTTCTTTACTCTGGACCTAACCGTGGACTCGTAAGGTTGCCTCGTGGACCGCCCTGCCCGACGGATTACTAGCGATACACGCGTAACGTCCGCCGTGCTCCGGGGTTACCGGCTCGATCAGTAGTATACTCGTCCGTGGGCCGAGTTTCCCGACGCTGAATCCCATGAACTGCGACAACGCTTTGTCCTGGTGGGTCCAGGCGATCTCGATCGGCGTGTCGCCGACTGGCACCATGCATGCCAATTGGGCGGCCTGTCCGGCATAGATCGGCCGGTCTCCAAAATCGAACGGATTGATCCGTGGCAGGACTGCAACGGAACGGTAGGTAGATCCACGCTCTCGTAACGATCCTTTCTCCGAGTCCTTCGTGATCAATGCGAAAAATCGTGTCGATCGTTCGCCACCGTTTAGTATCTATATTTTTTTTTTTTTTTTATTAATCTGTTCACTCGTCCAAGAATCTAGCGTTGCTTTTCCTCTCTGTATCCGATGCCGTTGTTCTCCACAGATTGCGTGACGCGATATGCTCGTAAATAATCGACGGTGCTAAACTAGTTACGTGGAATAATTGAGATTAAACTCTTCGACGTTATTAGATTGGCGACTTATCGAGATGAGAGAAGGGATGCGGAGTGGCAGAGAGTGAGAGATAGTTCTGGACCGGGAATAAACGGGAGACATGGCTCGTCTCGTAGTATCGGCGTTTCGCACTCGATTCAAAGTGATCGTGGGCACAAACTACATGGGCTCGCCTACGCGAATTAGCTAAACGACTTAAACCTCGTTACAAAGGAGATAACTCTCTATAGACAAAAAAAAAAGAGTATACGATGCAGATTTTTAGACACATATATATTTCGTAATAATATCATTACAACAGTCAGGGCAGACAGATTGGAGAATTTACGACGTACGTGAAGCGGCAGCAAGGGTACAAAATCTAACATATCGAATGCTACTTGAGATATATAAGTGTGTGTAAAAACTACAACCGAATAAAAGGGTAAACGTACCACTGCTTTCCGCTCAAATAGTAACACGCATACAAAATGGTAGTACTCTCACTACGCGTACGCCCGTTAAACACCATCATCATGCCGCGCGGTTTTGCTTTGTGTTAAAGAAAGTACAGTTTTTTTTATATCGTTTTTTCTGTTTTTTTTTTGCTGGATGCTTTTGTGATCGTGTGTTCGTTTTCTCTGTACCGTTCACTTTCAGATGGGCGCTGTGCCGAGCACTGCCCGCTGGATTATCGGCGACGCAAGCATACTCTCCGGCGTGCTCCCCACGGACAGCGGGTATCGTCAGGGCCGAGACTCTATCCCCCAACGCGGTGATACCCACTCCGTCGCCTACTTCTAAATGGCGGCCCTCGAACAACCACTTGAGCGAAATCGGCGTGTCCCCCTTCACGACCGCGCAATGGACGATTATCAGATCGCCGGAGTTGGCCTCGTCGAACGCGAACGGCTGCAGATGTGGAGCGACTGCCGAGAGATAGAGAACGGACAGAGGCTAGAGACAACAGGCAAATATAATACACGGGAAAGAGACACGCGAGCGAGAATGAACGGTCCCCGCTTTAATCGAGGCGGATCTGGCGCCGCGCGAGATCTGGCGCGATTTTATCGCGCGCAATTAGCCTCTTTTTCCGCAATCGCAACAGCCTACTCTCGCGTCCGGTCGCGTCCGCAAAAGTAGCGAGCGCGGTAGGAACGCGCGGTAAGAGCGCGACGGATATTTGAGCGGAAATCGATTTTGATAAAGTGAGCGTCTACGGGAGAAGCGGTGAATCTCGGGACGACGGACGGGAGATTCGCTTGTACGGAGAGCAGGGGAGGAGGTTTCGCAGGGCTGAATGAAATATCGAGTAGATCCTTGCAGATCAGTATGCACCGTTCACAATGAGATCGGCCGAGAGCTCGTGCCTGCCGGCAAGATTCTCCGCGATACATGTGTACGTTCCAGCATGGGTCGCCTGGACGGATCCTATGCTCAGTATGGCGCCGCGTCCGCCCAGATCCACGATCGAGATTCCAGAGTGCGGTGAGATCGCATGACCGTTTAAGGTCCAGCGAAGCTTCAAGGGTGGATCGCCCTCGACCACTGCGCACGGTACCGTTACTACTTGACCCGAGTTAAGCGGCTCCTCGCCGAACGAGAATGGCAATAATTTTGGAATGACTGGAAGAGAAATAGAAAGAGGTCAGCAGAGACGAGAAAGAATTCGCGTTGATGCAACCCGCGCTTAGGCGCAAGTAGAACAGCACGATTGTTAGATCGACAACTGGAAATCGTACAATGTCCGTTTGCTCCTCCTTCGTTTCCTTTTGCTTCCGCTTTACGATCTGTATCATAGCGAGTGTGTTGTTCCTGTATTGTATGACGTAGTATATTTCGCGATGCTAATCGACAACAAAATTGAAAAAGAGCACAGGCGTGTAACCAAGGAAATCGAGAAACGTCACGTCCAATGATAACATTCGTCGGTGGCTAAAGTAGCAATAACGAATTCTAGAGAACACAGACACACGTCGTGCTACAAGTAATATAAAAAGCGAGAAAACATATTGCAGAGAGAAAAGTAAAGTGAAATACAAGTATAAAATTAGAAAGAGGACTCTCGTGGGAAATGCGAAAAGGATAGAAATATGAAGGATTCAGACGAAAAATGGCTAAATATGAAAATGCGAATCGTGAGCTTGTCGGAAGGTGTACCATTTACGTCCAAGGTGGCCGAATGCGAGATCGATCCAGCCGCGTTTGAAGCAACGCAGGTGTATTCTCCGGCGTGTCGCGCAGCCACCGATTCGATGGTCAGTTGTTTGACGCGCTTTCCGGAATCGGACACTATCACGTCGCTGTGATAAGATTGTATGGGACGGCTGTCGAAGGTCCACGTGATCTCCAGAGGGAAATCGCCCTTGGTCACCACGCACTGCACCGACACCGTCTCTCCGGCGTTAGCGGGCTCCTCGCCGAAGGAGATCGGTGCTATCTGTGGGGAGACTGCGATACGAACGCAAGATAAAATACGATTCAAGATGGAAAAATCACGAGTACATATTTTTGCAAAGATTCGATGAGCGGACGATTAAATTGCTTCGAGAATCCAGAAGAACGTAGGACGAAGAATTTCTGCGATTCGAAACAACGTAAAGCGTAAGAATGAACGTACCGAGAGGAATAAAATTGAAAGTAGTTCTGGTTTTTCATG